CTCAGGCGTGAGCTGCTTCACTTGCGGGGTGGTGGTGGGTCCCTGCCCGGGCTTGCTGGCCGGGACCGGGGATGGAGGAGGCACCTCCGGGCACCCCTCGCCTCCCCAGGCTTCATTCTCAGGCGCTGCGACCTTGGGGCTTGCGGCGCAGCCGGGGCGTCCCGGGGAGCCGGGGGTCCCTAACCCCCTGCTAACCCAAAGCTGCGCTTCTGCTTCCTCCGCTGACCCAGGCTCCTGGGCAGCCTCTGGCTTTGGTAGCCTCCCTGTGCTGCGTTGTGCAGAGAGAGGTCGGGAAGGCAGCAGAAATCCATGAATCGGGTGGCACGTCTTGCTCTGCTGGTGACTCACTGGGTGACCTTGGGTTAGCTACTTAAACTCCCACTGCTGCAGCGACTGGGCTCCAGCCCGGCCCCGGTTTGTAAAGCACTGCGATAACCTCCAAGGAGAAGTGCTAGATAAGCGGGAGCTAGCTAGCGAGTTTTTTCCCAAGTTCTGCTGAAACAAAGCAGAGAGTGGCCCAAAATCTTCTAGAGACCTGAAACCTCTCTGTGCCAGATTTCATCAAATCACAAGCCTTTCTCTGTTAACTCAAAAATCTGAACTCCAGGCCATTCCTCATGTTATGAAATAGGACCAGTGGAGTTCTTGCCCAGGCTGTAATGTTACAGTTATTTCTCACAGTCCTTCTGCATGCAGATTTGCTCAGTACCTGCTATCTGTGAAATAAAATGCAGGCACTAAGTAAATGCTTTGGGTTCTTCCACCCCATCCCAAGCTGATGGGTGCAGGAGAGGCAGCACCAGGGTTAGCTGACCCCAGTGCTCCCTCCACATTACAGGTCACGGATGAGTGAGAAATGCAGTTTCTGAAGCTCGAAGATTCAGGTCCCTGTTAGCAATCTGGTGGCTGCTGAACGAAAGGAGAAGGAAAGTCACCAGCACAAGAAGCCCCACAGCTCTGCTGCTCTGCCCAGCATTGGTGAGAGCACAGCCAGGGAGGGAATATGCTCTGCTAGAGGCAAACCACCAGATCCTGTTCCCAGCTCTGCGCCAACTGACAACTTCCAGTGGTTGTTGCCTTTCCTTTTGTTTTGAGGTTTTTGAGTTTTTTCCTTTGTTTTTAACACACAGAGATCATTTAATCTTGTTGCACTGCTATTTTTTTTTAAAATTGAATGTATCTTTTCCATAAAACCTGATCTCACTCATGCTCTGCCCACCGCAGTAGCTGTGAGAGCTGAAGTAGCTTGTGTAAACATGGCCAAGAAGATAACGGTGAGCGATCCAGAGCAGCAGGGGTGGTTCATTATCACAGGTCCTGCACTTCTCATGCCTTGCTGTTTCTCAGAATCATGGAATAGTTTGGGTTGGAAGGGACCTTTAAAGGTCATCTGGTCCAGCCCCCCTGCAGTGAGCAGAGACATCTTCAACTACATCATGTTCCTCAGCGCCCCGTCCAACCTGACCTTGAATGTTTCCAGGGATGGGGCATCTACCACCTCTCTGGGTAACCTGTGCCAGTGTTTCACCACTCTGATAAAAAAAATCCCCTCCCTCAACCTGCTGACCACACTTTGCTTGACGCAGCCCAGGACACGGTTGGCTTTCTGGGCTGTGAGCGCACATTGTCTGCTCATGTCCAGCTTTCCATCCACCAGTACCACCAAGTCCTTCTCCACAAGGCTGCTCTCAATCCCTTCATCCCCCCGCCTGTATTGTTAACAGGGGTTTCCCTGACCCGGGTGTGGGACTTTGCACTTGGCCTTGTTGAACCTCATGAGGTTCACAGGGGTCTAATTCTCAAGCTTGTCCAGGTCCCTCTGGATTGCAGCTGATGGGTCACTAGGTCACGGTACAAGTTTCATTTACACTGGCACTTTTGGTCCTTTCCTGGAAAAGAAAGTCAGTGGTGGACCACAGAGAAGAAGCAGCTGGTACTGATACTTCTTTTTTCAGTTAGGAGGAAGGGGAGGAGACTTGTAGGTCCACAGAGCCGACAAAGGAATCTATTGGATGAAATCTTACCTCAGTTTGAAAGTTCATTTTTTTAGGTTGGAGATTAGAGCTGAGCTTGACTTTCTTCCAGTAGCTGGAAGTGACCATGGTAGAGCATTAGTGACACTACAGCCAGCGACCAACTCTGCCTATAAAACCTCATCAAAGTTTTTGTGAAGTTCTGGTCTGAAGGTCCCTTCTACTATTAATGTTTCTGACCCAGTCTGACATGTTGTTTAATGCTACTTGTTTGAACTCATATATACATGCAACAGATTCTGTTCCAGGTTAAGTCTTTGCTGGGATGAGCTTCATTGTGAGTGACATAACTGCAGCTGATGAGTTAAAATGTGTAAATAAATAAAATAAAAAATGCTGTACAACAATGGAGGTCTTTTTCCTTCTGATTTCCACAGAGGAGTATGACCTGGAAATAACCAACAATGGTCCCATCACAACGGGAGCTCAAGCTACTGTTCACGCCAGTCTAAGTATGAAGAATGACAATGTCACATCAAACTTGTATCACTTTAACTGGATTTATGCTCCTCTGATTCTGATAGAGAAATCTGAGCAGCGGTTTAACTCTGTAATTAATGTGACCGGTGAATTTCCTGGGACTTTTCCTGTATCTGTCTGGGTGACTCACAGAAACTGTTGGTTATGTCGGCCGGTTGCTAGAAACATCACTGTGCTTCAGATTACAGGTAAAATGGCTTTACAACTTCGATGTCTTCAGGAATTCAGTATACATAAGGGTGCTTTGCCAGCATCAGAAAAATAAAAGCCAAGTGTAAATATGGCTTCTACCAACAGAGCTTGATTTGTGTAGCCCTTTGGTTGAAGGTTTGGATGGCATTGTACTAACAGGGCCATGCTGTAGTCTACTTATATCCAGGAAGCAGGTGTGATCCTGCCCATGTTGTCCTGCCTGTATCACTTCAAGAAATGGAAGTAGAAACTGGATGCTTCAGTAGCTGCAGTTCCCACATCAGCGTTGTTCAGTGATGTCCAGACTCCTAAAACAATGCTTCCTTGCTTCCTGAACTGCTTCCCAGCATTTCCAGTCCTAAAGTTAGGATGACCAGCAGCAGTGACAATCTACTTATTTTCCCTGCTGCCTGGCATAGCAAAAACTTAGGTCATCAGCACAACAGAGCCATTACATTTTCTCTTAAAGTTCTACCTGAATGTACTGAACTTGATGTGAAGTCATGGCTGCATTTCCAAATATTGCTGAATGCAATTTCAGTTTACTGGGAATATTCATAACCAAAAATATGCATTTTTTTGCCAAACTGACCAGTGGTGCAGTATGGTTAACCTAATCTCTGATAGAGGAATTGACATATCACTGGACAGCTTCCCACAGTCCCTTCATTCAGAGGCTAGTAACCACATCCCTCAGCCACATCCAGTGCTTTACTTACACACTCCAAAATAGAGCCAGCTCCCAGCCGAAGACAAGGACATGCATGAGGACCAAAAAGCTAGCCATAGGGCATAGCTGACATTTTGGGGAATAGCTACTGAGATTTTCCTTTCAGAAACACCAAGCTTATTGGATAAGTCTTTACAAAAGTATACATGACATCTTTCTCTCTTAAGAACTGCTGCCTTGCTGAATACCTACTTGTTCCTTTCTCGCTTTGCACTGTCATATACTCATGCCACAAGCAAAAGGAATAGAAGCTTTCTATAGCTGTGAAAGGTAAGATCCCATTGTACTTTTCTGCCTTTCCCAAGCTTGAGCACCTGCAGGGGCTTTACAGGGGCGCAAAGGTAGTTGCCAATAACTCATCTAAATTACAGCTCCAGTTAGTTCTGCATTGCAAGCCCCATTCTGAATGTGTGATTATTTGTGCACCGTCAAGAGAACAACTAACCAGATTTCATTAATTGTTAACAGGGTAAGAGTCTGTTACTGGTAATTAATATCCTTATAAAGAGCTGATAAGTGTAGCATCATACCTCTTTATTCATAGGTTAGGGAGGGTTTTTTATCCATCAGCTTTTGCTAGTCCTTGTAAACAAACTTGAGCATAGGATTTCTCACAGACATTAAAATCAAAAGTTCACCCTTTCTGTATTCACAATATATAGCATGTTATTCATAGTCAAATTTTCATTCCTGTGGAAGCTAAAACTAAAAAACAAAAAACAGCAACATAAAAAACCCACAAAACAAACAAACAAAACCCACCACCCCAAACATGAAGGACATGTTTACTGGTTAGATTCTGAATCCCTTGATCTAGATACTTGATGTTAATCCCAGTTCTTTTTAAATCAGTAGTAAAAAACTATATTGACCTCAATCAGTCCAGGATTATTTCTCTTAGTTCTATTAGAATTCCACTGTATAACACTAAATAAGTAATTTAATGTCTCTGCCTCACTAACACATATAACAACACTGAGTAATTGATGTGAATTACACTTAACCACTTGGACTGGGACACAGAAAGACTTATGCAGTACATTTTAAATAATGTTTTGATACACAGAGTAATCTACAAAAGTGATATATACTGTGATTCTTTCTCCACCTTATTATTCTGCAGAATTTATCACAGGGAATCTTACCATTGCCCAGATAGAAGACAGTAGATTTATCACACGTGGTTCTAGTTCCTCCACGGGCGCCGTGACCCGGATTTCTTTCTGTCTTCATGACCCAAGTCATTACTTCAAGTCAGCATCATTTGTTTACAACTGGGATTTTGGAGATGGGTAGGTGTGGTTACTTTGCTTTAATGAGTATTCGAGATGGCTCTGATTTAGATGCTCATCTAGAGAAAAATCCTGATTAAACCAAAGGACAAAGCATACACCTGTGTCAGTTGGTATGTTCTTAGCATATCAACCAGGTGAATTATGAAAACTTTGGCACAGAAGTCACTGCGTACTCACAAAAAGGTGATGTTTTAACAACCTATGTTTCTTGTTGAAATACATGCTTAGATTTATTACTTTTGTGCAATGAGCTGAACTGAATGAACTGGAAAAAGTAACTTATTGTAAATCCTTATTTTAAAACATCATTATGCCAGCAGATCTCCATTAGCAGTTTGTTAGTGTTGAATATGTGAATAATTTGTGCACTTAAGGAAAATGGAAGTGGTATACTGTCTTGTGCTTGGGCAGCGAGTAGCTGTTACTATGACCAGCTACCAGTAAATATACCACAGCTTGGGTGAGCAGCTTTTGAAAGTGGATAGGTCTCAAATAATATGGAGGTGCACATTAACACACACTTAATTACAAAATTGAGGAGGGGGTGGAAACCCAGCGTAGCCTATAACCATCAGAAATAAAACCATGGGTAGTAAGTATCTAGCCCTTAAGCCACTCTACAGTAGGGAGGAGAAAAAGAGTTACTTTCCTTCTCTGAGGATGAATACAATACAAATAGAAATGCCCAATACAAATATATGTCTGCAAATAGAAATGTGAACTTTTGTTTCTTTCTTTCTTTCTTTCTTTCTTTCTTTCTTTCTTTCTTTCTTTCTTTCTTTCTTTCTTTCTTTCTTTCTTTCTTTCTTTCTTTCTCCCTTTCTCCCTTTCTCCCTTTCTCCCTTTCTCCCTTTCTCTTTCTTTCTCTCCCTTTCTCTCTTTCTTTCTCTCCCTTTCTCTCTCTCTGTCTCTCTCTCTTTCTTTCTCTTTCTCTCTCTCTTTCTCTCTTTCTTTCTTTCCTGCCCCATCTTAGTGCTTCAGTTAGCTTATAGTCTACCTGTTATAAAGATAGTTTTCGTAATTTACTATTCCTATTCCATTTTGTGAATTCTTTTAGCATTATATTTAGTTTGTTTGATTAAAAATGCATAAATATACTCTGGGTCTCCTAATGATTGTACTTTTATTGGTAATGCCACAGACATTAATCCCCATTGATAGGGACATAAAATAGAATTAGAATCACAGCTGATTGTAGCATTGTCTGTAAAGAAAATATATTTGAGCTTGCTCCTTTTTAAATCAGAAATATGCAAGGACTTGGTAAAAGGTGTTTTCATTCATATCTTTTCATGTTACACAGACTTTATCAGATTACCAAGGAACCCTTTGTCTACTATAACTGCTCTACCATGGGGAATCGCACGGTGCATCTGAAAGTCATAGCTGAATGGGAGCAAATTGGAAGCATCATACGTGAAAGAGAAATGGTGCAGAAAACTGGTGATTTTACCACTGCTCTGGCGCTGTTAGGTAATTATAAAACATCTTGCATGCTCAGAACAGAACTTCATCTATATGTACAGGTACAATCTAGCTTTAACGTTATAATACAACTTCAGTCAGTGCTGTTTCACATGCAAGAACTAGTCAACATTAGTAAATGAAGAGTTTCAATTGCAAAATGGACTTTGTGCTATTCTAGTGCAGAAAAAATGGGGAAAATATATACAATTTTCTGTTTCTTCTCCATTTAACAGAAGTTTCACTGGCTTTTGTAAAACTCTCACATGCACTTAAAACTGTCAAGGAAATGTTCACTGTAATTTATGGAGGATCTGTTTGTTTAATTTATGCCAGCTATCCCTAAAAAATAAATTAGTTAAAATAAGCATTAGAAAGTTTCATTGATTTGTTCAGTTTCAGGAGTAAATAAACATATAAGTAAAAAATGTAGAGGATTAATAAAGTAGTTGATTACATATTAAAAAGAAATCACAAAACATTCTGAAAACTTACAACAACTCTACCAAGTAGGTTTCCTTTTTTGGTATGAAGCAAGTAGTAGCATTTGTGTGACAGAGCTAAAATCTGCAAAGTCTATGGAAACAAACCTTCACTGGAAATCCAGTGAATTTCAAGTTTTCATGTGGAGTGTGACATACTTCTTTTATCCTCTCAGATGCTGTTAAAAGTATTAATGTAGTGGGCTCCAGAGAGACTCACGTAATGGAAAACCTGAGTTTATCTCTTCATATCAACGGCACGTAAGTAGCAAACACAACTTCTTTCCCCAAAAGCATTGTCTGTTTAAGTGTTTTTCCCCACTGTTTCTAAAATAGTCACTTGCACCCCATAAAACTGTTCCTTAAAACAAAAAAGAAAATTCAACAAAATACTGTTGAATATTGTCTTTTCCTGACTTGAAATACCATGAACTCTAAGAGCCTGAAAAAGCCTGATTCTTTACAGAAAAATTGAATCCTACGTAATGCAAATGTTATTTTTGTATCTTTGTAAAGAGAATGTTAAAAGAGAACTAGCCAGAGAAATATAGTGGGGAAAATTACATTTTAAAACTTCCTTTTGAATTTTTTCCCTTGACCAATTTCCCCACCATTAAATTAAACTGTGTTCAGAGTCCTATTGCATAGGAGTGATCCTGGACTGGCACATGGAAGTAATGGGTTTGGGGAATAATTCTGTCAAAGATTGCCACAAGATGAATAAAACAGAGAAGCTCCATGCAGTGAGGTTTATAGGAATATAGGAGAGTCATGAGCACCTCGATCCTAGCACAAGATCTCTTAAGCTGGAGTATTTAGAATATATCAGATTTTTTTTGTATGGCAGAAACATTTTAAATACCATTGAAACACCCCGGAAAGCTCCTTCACCATAAAAACTCCATGACCATAGAAGTCATTTATTCTCCAAGAGTGACACTGTCACATTCTGCTACTGGGAGCTGTTTAGGCTAATGCTGGGTTAAGGGAGAGGGGAGCAGGGCTGTGTATGGAGAATGGAGCAAGCAGCACCCAACAGAGTCACTTGCCAAAGGCATAAATAGTCCCAACAGACTAAGCAACACAGTGTGCACTCACAAAATGATGACACATTGGCAGGAGGGGAAACTGGAGATGTCATACCAGTAAATATGAGCAGCCAAAAACTATTACAGCCAACCTTGAGATTCCTAAAAGCAGGCTTGGTTTTAGGATGGACAATGTTTGCCAGACCTGGCCTCCTAGCCACAGGACTGGGACTGATGCGATATGAGTTTATGATAAAGAAGTAATGACAAGGGCTTGAGAGATGGGTTATCGGAAACAAAGCTAGAAAATGAGCTAAACATATCAACAGGCTGCTTTCTTTAGCAGGGAATGTCCTAAAGAGATAAGGAACAAAATACTAGTAAGATGGGGTAAAGAAAAGCTCTGTTTGTTGTCAGAATCAAAGTCCATAGTGCATCAGGTGAGTCCAAGCAGAATCAGTTGGAACAAGGGTCTGAAAATGTAAACAAAAGGCATCAACTAGACATGATGAGAAGACACACGGCCATAAAGTGGATTGCACCTAAATTGCTTGATAGCAAATAAAAACCTTTTTGTTATTGTGAGGGTGTACTGGTGATCCTTTAAATTTATTTACCTTTTCCAGCTGTTAGTCCATTGTACAGAGCTCATCTTACATTATTTCTAGTTTTGGTTGTGGTGGGGGTGTTAATCAGAAAGGTCTTGGGTGTGCTTCAGCAGCACAGAGAAAAAACAACCTATACTCCCGTGGAAGTGCAGAGAAAAGAGATTCCTTTTATCTTTATTGGAGAAGGACTGTGGGGTTTTCTACACACAATGCCCTGCCTATGACCCACGCAGGTATTTAACTCTCAGCTGAAAGGCTTGCTTTTATAGAAGCATCACAAAGAACATTTTCAATTGACAAATTCTATAAGCCAAACAAATGGCAGTTAATTACTTCTCTATTTGTATTTAGATTAACTGCATTATTTTCAAAATTATTATGCTATTTTAACCAAGTGATTCATCGGCTCTTAGCTGAAATTTTTGCAAAGTTTGCATCTAATTTTTTTTTTTTTTTCTTTTTGCTCTTGTCATTTCAGCCCACCACTAGCATTATGCTGGCTTATAAAGTCTGAATGCATTCCACTTGAAGGTGAAAAATGCCATCTGGTGGTGATTAATGGCTCGTGCTATAATCTCAGCCATACCTTCAGTGATGCTGGGCAGTACTGCCTCAGTGTCCGAGTGGAGAACGGCGTGACAATGCTGCAAACGTACCATGAAATAAAAGTGTGGCCAACAGGTGAGGAGCAGCTAGTCTGAGCAGCACATCAATTCCCAGCAGTCTCAAACATGTCAGGGACAATTATGGATTAACTGGCCTGCAGATGAGGTTTCTGGAAACTGGTATAGATCCCTAAAAGCACAGAAAGGAGGGAAAGAAAGGAGAGCCTATAATGTACCTGCTGTAATTGGTCTAAGCTTCTTGCATCGTGCTGAACCCTTACTCTCAAGAGTGTCTTGAAGCTAATGAGTTTCCTGGGAAGGCTGTTAGTTAGATTACATATTTTTCAGTTTAAATAGTCTGGCTCTTGTAGTTAGAGATGGTAACTAGGAAAACATGTCTGTAACACTAATTTAATTAGTCTCAGTTCTTCATTTTGTTTAGTATGTTTTTTAAGGGTAGACTTTTCTAGGTCTCTATTTCATTACATTTCTGTACGCCCAGACACCAATCCCTGCTGGCTTCCCCATGCATGCTCACACAAGTCCCTCCTGGGTCCCTGAATCATCTGAGAAAGTGGTTAGGTGGCCAAGTGAAGAGGTCCTGACCAGAGGACAGCCAGGCTGTGGTACAGGATGGTTATACCATCACACTGTGGGCCAGCACTTGTATAGAGACAGAGCAGCTCGCTCCGGAAGGCACGAGTGTGCATTCAGGGCTAAGTGTGCAAATCCTCTTTGCTGGAGGCTGCTGTGAAGATGAGATTACTTCCTATCCTCCTGCAGTACCAAAGGTACAAACACCCTGAGGAGTTAGGGGTAACATATGTAACTGGATGGGGGTTTTTTTAGGCCATTCAGTGAAAAAGAGGGGTAAAAAGGGAAAGACCCTTATAACCTCACAACCCTGCATTTCCACTTCTAAGATCTCAGAAAGACCTGAAGGGATCTGGGCTGAAAAATTTATTCCCTTTTACACACAGGTCCTTCATTCTAAAAGTAGGAAAACTTCTCCTAAAATATTGTATCCTTCTTGCTGTTGTCTCTTCTCTAGTGTATTGTATCACTCTGGGAATGCACCCTTGTGCTCTTTCCTAGGGATCCACCCGGCTTTCTTTGTGCTGCTCTGCATCGCTCTGGTTTCAGTGATGCTAGGATTGGTGCTGTACACGACTTTTCGAAGTAACACGCAACAAAAAGATCTCATAGAGGTATTCAATTATTCTCACTTTGAGCTGGGATAGTAATTAGATACCGTTCAGCCATCCCTTCCAGAGGATCTGTCTCAGAATGCTTCCATGAAAGAAAGCAGGGGGATAGTGAGAGAGGATATATGATAGTAAAAAAGGGTGGGCATGTTACCTAAAGCAGCACTAAAGCAGAATAAATTGTCACCTGACCCCAGTATGTGACCTTTATCTCCCCAGCTCCCTTCCATTCTGGTGTAGCTTTCACTTGCTACATTATTGTATTTGTAATAAGCATGGGCTCCTAAATCAAAAGTAGATTTCATGGCCCTTTGGAAAGTACCTCATACACTTTACATCATGCCAGAATATGAATAATACACCTCTAGAGAGACTGCCTATGAGCCATGTGTGCAGCAGGTACACATCAGAAGTCTGTTTGAAGTTGGTGACTGACTGAAACTGGTTGAGGGTCAAGTGACATTTCTAGCCCAAAGTATTCTTGCTGGACTCACTTGAGCCAATAGGACCCAAATTAAAAATTATCTCTTTTATGTTTCTTTTCCAGGTAGCTGACTTTGACTTTTCTCCACTGTCTGATAAAAACCTGTCTTCTCAATCGGAGTCGGACTGTAACCAAATATGTTGCAGATCATGTTTTCTTTGGTCATCTCAAGAAGCTGCCAGGGAGAGTCATGAACTTCTACATTCTTTTTACAAGCCAGTCAAAATGTACACCGTGTGAAGAACACAATTGCACTTTGGTTACACTAACTCAATTTTAACTTTCTCACTTATGATGAGTTAAAAGCCCAGTGCTTAATGAATGGTTTGGTTTTGCCAATGCAATGAGGTTAACCACTTTAAGTCCCGCACTTGAGCATTTCGTTTTCTGAACTAAAAAAGAGCAAGCCCTGAGACACACTAAAAGTAGCTTCGTATTTTTAAATTATATGGGTGTGAATTTTACACATTTACAGCTGTGAATGCAGCATTTTATTCTTATGAAAGATTGTTTTATGTAAAGACTCACTACCTCTTGTAATTTCTCTGTTCCTTCTACTGTCTGTTACAAAGAAGAAAATGCTTATGACAAACAAACCTCTCTTTCCTATGTTACAACAATATTACTGGAAATGGAATTTCCAAATCACCCAAAATACTGTTGACCGTGTATTTGTTCTAAAAAGGAACTGACTTGTCCAGGTTGAGAACGGCCTAGGTGCTTGCAATGAACCAGACTACCCAATTATGTTGTGTTTTTTCCCCCTGTCTTAAAAGACCCATTTTTTTAAGTTAATGGGCTTCTGTGAGACTGCAGCAGCTTGTGACCTGCTCAGGAAGAGCTAGCTGCCAGCAGTATTTTGGTGGGACCACAGCATGTGCTGTAAAAGACTCCACATCTCCAACACTTTTATGAAGTAGTACACGACACGCTTTTTTTTTCCGGCTGTTCATCTTCCTTTTCTTTCTCATATTATTAACCAGCTAGTCACCTAAGCCCCTCTTCCAAAAAATGCAACAACCAGTTGCTGCTCAGCAAACCATCAATTCAAATTCATAGTCAGTGTTCAGGGCTGTATAAACTCCATGCCCCTTGCAGATTATCTTCTACTATCAGCTTCCTGCTCAGACAGGCTTTGTCCCCTGCTACGTGTCATTTCAAACTACCCTGGCAGCTTTTAAACAAAGGTGCCTTTGTGGCGGTTTCTTTTTTAAAACGTGACACACCTTTCCCATCTCTGATTTAAAGCCTGTGGGGTATCCTGGGCTTGGGGTTTTACAAGTATGCCCTCATTTCTCAAATGCATTGATTGGGGGATAATTGTCTGAATGTGAGGGGAGTTACCACGAGGTTTTCAGGGTGCTCATCTCACACATTCAACTTGTTTCCTCACAGAAGCCCAGAGCTTCTGTTCCTCTGTGAAAAAAATGAACTGACCTCAGAAGGGCTTTGTTAATTAACTCTATACATTCAAAACAGAATAGGATTATCTAAGGTAAATATCCAGTAAAACCAAGTTTTTGTCAAAAACTAACTTTCCAAGGCAGACCTTCTTTTGGCTTTTTTTCTAAAAAGTAATTGTACTTATAAGTAATTGCTTATAAGTAATTGTACTTATAAGCAATCTTATTGATTAGTTGATTAGGAGTGGTGTCCTTTGTATTCCTTCTCAGTGCTCTGGTGAAAAACTCTTATCTTCAGTCATATTCAGCCACTGTTAAAAATGTGCCTCTCCTTACCAAAGAAGCTATTGTTCTCAAGAGCTTCTTTATGGCTTATTCCTGAGATCCCAGCCATGTGAGCCACTGCCAAAGGTAGGTGACTTGTTCTGGGCTATCAGTGTGTTCTGTAAATGGCTACACAGTCCTTGGGCACTGGAAATAACAGATTTCTGATATGAAAAATACAACTCGGAGTGACAGTGACCCTAGACAAACTGCAGAGTGGCTCTCTGCAGTCAGAAGTTTAGTTTGGACTTCTTTTATTACGCCTGAGATGAACATGTGGCCCTTGCTCCTAAAATACACCTAAAGACAACCCCTTGGCACACTACTGAATGTCTAAAAAGCCCTTTCTTCTCCATACTGCACTCCTAACAAAGGCAATAACTATGAGAGAAGTCTCAGTTATAGGTACCTGAAACCAGGGTCATTTGGGTTGGAGGAAGATCATATCAAAGGAATAAGACCTCTGCTCTGCCCCATTTTCCATTAATAACCAGCTGATTCAAACGGCGTCACAGGGAGTCAGGTGACGAACACTGTTTCTTTGGGTTTGTGCCTCCGTATTCTCCCCAGTACATCTGAGCTGAGATACAAACCTGGCTAAAGTGGATATCAACCCTGCGTCAAAAAAAAGAAGGACATGGAGTTAGTGACATGAAAGACTAAGAATGCTCCCCAATTCCCTATTGAGGAAAACAGAGCAAACATCCTGCAGAAGAATATTGGCTCTTACTCTCTTCCTAAAATGAACAAAGGATGGTAAAGGAGTCAGATGATTCAGAAGGGTAGAAAAGATGAAGTGCGGCAAAGTGGAAAGTCAACACTATCAAATAGTGGAAGATATTATTCAACAGCAGATGGAAAAGAATAGAGGTTGGAAAGAAAGACATCCCTTGAAAAAAATAAGCAGTGGAGAAAGTACACTTAAAAGGGCATGTCAAGAAGGAAATTAACCAAGAAAATTTAAACAACCTTAACTAATTGAGGTATAAGTATGAGAAATATTCACACGAACATGTTCCTGAATCCAATATAAAACTGTTCCCTGCACAAAAGACTGATCTGTGGGTTCAATAAATGCCTCTGAAATTGAAGACAAAAGGTAATTGAGCAGTTCAGGTTATAGCAAGGAGATTAGTGGGATGTAACAAGGATCAGCGGGAGGATTCGTTTTGTTAACCTTAGAAATCAATGACCTGGAAAAAGGAATGTTCAGCAAAACGATGAAACTCACTGATTCAAAACAAGAGTCCAGTGAGCACAAAGCCAGAGAGTGATTAAATTCAGGTGATAAGCAAGAGTGTGAGCAGATAAGAAGTTTATGCAATGAGAATTATTTCAAGGAAATACATTTGAGGATAAAAATGTTCTGGAAAGGCATAGTACAAAAACCACACGGTAAAGCAAAAGAACTTCTTTTATTCTGTATTTTGCCATATAAATAATGGTCCCAGTTTGTGCAGTAGATGTGGGGACAAATTAGCCCCTTATCTTAACAGCAGAGCGTAAGGCTCAGTGGCTGAATGGGTCGAGGCTTTCATCTCTGAAAGTAGATTACACAGCCCAAGCTGTGACAACAGTTTGAATTTACAAGACCTCTATTGCGTCTGCTGGATCCTGTAGGAAATGGAAATTGTTTCAGCAAGAGGAAGGTGAAGAACTTCATATTTAAATGCTCAGCATTATTATTAGATAATCAGCCAACTCTTCACCTTGATTTTAGAGAGCCAGCGCCAGTTTCCGTGGAAACTGAAGTGCTATCCTGCAACTGTCACAAAATTGTTTAAATCCTGAGATCCCAGCTTTGACAGCACACCAAGCACCACAAATGTGGATTTTTAAATTGCAGCCACCAACGTGAGGAATGCAGAAGTTCCAGAAAGTTCTTTAAGAGCTGGGTATACTCCCTGCCAGTGTGCGTAATTCCTATGGCAGCGCGCGTAAGTAGAGCAGTCACAGCATACAGTGGGTTTTGTACAAAATACCATAGTTCACAACTGACTCAAATACAAGAGCAAATTACGCTAGAGCTCTGGTGAAAGACTACCCCAGCCAAATAAATTTCTAATGCATTTACTCACAGCAGTCCTGGGAGGCAGGGAAGTGATATTATCACCATTCACAGGAGGCAAAGGGGAGCCATGTAGCGATATGGAGCTCGCTCCTGCAGAGGCAGGTGTAGATGCCTGCATAAAATTCAAGATTAAAAAGATTAAGGCACCATGCATTTTTTTTTTTTTTTTTTTTTTTTTAACAGCCTGTGGAGCGAGGTAAGCATTACATTCAGGTTACATTTTACACACAAAAACTTAGGTATCACACCTACCTACTGTAGCTGTAACAGGGAGCCTGGGCAGAGTACATGCAGGTGGAGTTGCGATTTGTGGACTGCACAGCAGGTGTCTCCCACTACACAAGAATATTTCCACAATCTTCACACTCCCACGATGGCAGGCGTGAGCCGCTGGTGAGACTTTCAGTGAATATTTTTATGCACGCCTCGCTGTGGCATGTAAGCTAAATGAACAACCAGATTCGATAAAAGATGCATATTATTCACAATACAAGGACTGTAATTTTGAGCGCCACCCCAAGCAACTATGAGAAATGACTGTGTCCATCGCTACGCACGGGAACACTTGCCCCATGTGGGGTGAGCCCTGCATCTCTCACTTGGAAGGCAATGGATGGACAGACTGAGCAAGTTGTGCAGGCAGTCCCGCTCCTGGGAGAGAACTTTCTGTGCTTTATTCAATGCACTTGGCACGACAACGGCCTCTTCCGCAGTCCCTTATGTCAGTGAGACACATGCTGCATGATTAGAAACTGGTGGGACTAGGCCCATTGCTGTGAATGCAAGTGGTATCGTTTTCCATAAAGGAAAGTAACTGTGAAGTTTCAGTCTACAATGACTTATCTTAAATTAAGGAAAATGAAGAAGAAATCAGCCCACAGCACAAAACACACCTGAGTGTAAGCATTTCTTGAAATCTTGAATGAAGGTCCCTATTGCTTCAGTGGAAGGTCTCAAAAACAGGAAAGTAGAAGCAGCAACAGGCACATTCAGGTTTAATGGCTCTATAAACTCAATCCTTCCTGGTAATAAAATTAGGACTCTTGTCATTTAAAGCATCTTTTCAGCTACAATTCAGAAACAAAATGAAAACAGGCCACAGAAATAAAAGCTCTCTTATCTGATCAACAGCATGTATTTAATAGCAAAAAAATGTATAAAAATTATGCCATAGGTTTTTAATGTTTTTTCAGTTTCCTGACCTTAATCTATTCTTTCATTATATGCAAAGATTGAAAATATTTTGAATTAAATCAAAAAGAAAAAAATAATCAAAAAAATAATCTAAAAAATCCAAATGCATTTGCTAATTAAATAGCAATGCCCTTACTTTCATTCAGGCAATCTTGTTACATTACCGTCTTCCCATACTAATTAACTTTAAATTTAATAGATTTCTCTCACCACCCCAAGCTATGTAACAAAACACAACATGCTCAATTTAACGAAAACAAGCCAATATTGAAACTGGCTGGTTTGATTCTGCTTCATCAAAGCACTCAAACACATACGTAAGTGCAAACACTTGGAGGAGCGGACTTGGAGAAGCAGCTCCTTGGGGTGGTGGAAAGGGTCTGAAGGAAGGATAAAGCCTCGCTTCCATGGGAAAGCCCAGTTCTCAGGATATCAGATGGCCTACCACAAGCATCTGCATCTGGAGAGCTGGTGTCGAATGTAAAAGTCATTTCTTAGCCCATTAATGGATTTTTTCCACATGCAATGAATTCACTTGCAATGAATCCGGAGCATTTTCATAGGTCCCAGGGGACGAACAGGACTGGTTTATGACAGGGAGCACAGCGTGTTCTCTGCCAGCCCAGGCGAGTGCCCCATGCAGGAACACTGCAGCCATCCAGGCAGGTAGATCTGCATTTCTGAACTGAACCCCAACAACACAGAGCAGTTCCTGGGAGGCTCTGTATTTGCATGTTAAAGTGTTTTATTGTATGTAATTAGACCATAGAAGTAAGATATTTCTGTTACAAAATAATGTATATATTGTGGAGTTGATCAAGGTTATAAGCAAGTAAATTTGAGTTAAAACATTGTGAGAAAATTGGACAGTCAACCAAGACAGTATCAGAAAACGAATGGCAGCCCGGATCCTGGGGGAGAGAGATGGGTCAATATAGTCCCCCTGAGCCACCAGGGAAAGACTTACATTTTTGTTATAGCTTGAGTTTTGAATCTGAAATTATTCCAGGTAGCTCTCCTTGTGGTATTTTGAGTTCTTACTTGTGATT